AATGCAAGGGACAGAGAAAAATACCTGCCACGATGGATTGGTATTTGGTGTTGCCAGACAGTGAGGAATGAGGAAGATGAAAAAGCTTCATTTGCGAGGAAGATGATGTCATGTTGAACTTTACTGATATCAGAGTACCTTGTCACGAGGGCATATCAGAGAGAATATCAGATAAAACTGCTGCTTATAAGCACAAATTATTCATAGATTGGAATATTAGATGTGATACGTCACTGTCAATCCGTAGGCAGAATTGATACTACAAAAAGCATCATAACTCAGACTATACTATGATTTCTAAGAATGCATAGCTATAACGTCCACTTATTCGAGCTGTAATCGCCAGCATAATGGAACAGCATCCCTTGATCTCCAGAAGGCATCCCTCTTCTATTGCTAGACCTTGGAACTTCAGAGGGGAAATAAGCGTCGCCTACTCTGAAATCTGACACTGGGTTGCTACATCCACCAAAAGTTGGTGTCGACAGCAACATAGAATTACGAGCGCTGAAACAAGGATCCGGTGAGGACTCGGAGCCATATCGTGAAAGTGACAGATTTGCCCTGAAATGATTTGAGAGGTTTTCCCGACTTGTTGCTGTCAAACTGAACCTTGAACGATAGCCATCAGCTGAACACAACTCATTTTGAGCAAAAGAGTCTGTTGGCAACCGGAACAAACCAGCAAGTCCCACCGGCACTTTCACGTCATCCCGTGGTATGATCCTGCTACGATACTCTGCTGGTTCTGGTAGCGCCAATATTTCCTGGCTAGGAAACGTTGACATGCAAAGTGAAAGCTCTGTGTCTCTGACTGGCGAATCATCCGTTGCGTAGTGATACTCTGGTGCTGGAAGTGCCAACATTTCCAGGCTAGGTGGACTTGGTTTGCTCAGCTTTTCTCTAAGGGACATCTTGGCACGTTGAAGGGCCTCCAAAACACCTCCCACACCATCACTTGAAGGTTGATGCATCTGTGTGTCAATCTGGTTATCAGTGTGGTTGTGAAAGCATGATGAGCTCCATTCAGAGACTTTGCTTTTAGGGGTGTCACTTGATCGGCTTGCGACTGATGGTGTGTTGATGTAGTGCTCATAAGAGCAAGCATTTACATGGTAGCCTGGACCACTGTCTGAGCTTTCATCTACCTGATCTTCATTATGCCTTGCATTTTGGCTGCTATCGTAGTTTCCTTGTAGTGAAGAGGACGATTTCGCTATATTATTCCCACTTCCTTCAATAATTTCAGTGAAACTTTTGTTTACCGACTCATCCTTCCTAGCCTGTGGGCCACTATCAACTGAAACAACTGTTGAAGTAGCTTCCCCAAAATCATGATCACACTCAGTAACTTTGCAATGCTTAATAGCATTTTCTTCTGGTGCATTTGGGGGCAGTCCGAAAACAGAATCAGTTGACAAACATTCAGAGGGGCTGTCATCGGCAAAGAGATTTTTGTCACTTGGCCCTCCCACTTCAGAAACTTCTTTATCCTTGATCTGAGCAGCTCTGTCCCTCTGCTCACAAGCCTTTTCAATTTGATTTAGTTTATTGCCTAGCTCAACATCACCCTGGAAATCAGAACACAAATGTACAAGTCAAAATAACAATAATTTTAGATATTTTAATTTTTATCCAGTCAACTACAAGTTCAACAGCTTCGAGAAAAACAAAGTTAAGGAAAATTGTTTGGTTTACTATATTGACAGCAAGTATACAGATAAAAACATCGACAGCAAGTATCTCTAACAAAAGAAATTATATGGTTATCAGCATATTGGCATCCATCTAAGAAGCTAAAATAACCCTGAACCACCAAATACATGATATTTTGTTATTTTGTTAAACAGATCTTATGCCTATATGAAACAGCATTTTGTGAGATTGAGAAGGACAGTGCATACCGCAGTTGAATCTCGGCAATTGTTGAATTTCTTCTCCCACTCCCTCTGAGCATATTCTTCTGCCTCGTATTGCCCAATTAACTCTGCTTGCTTTTCAAGAACTCTCTCCATCTCCCCATCCTTCTCATACTCCACAGAATATCGATCGTCATTATCTCCGTCTCTTCCATCGCCACAAGAGCCCTGCCCATCTTGGCTCACCTCACCATCAATATCAGGCTGCTCATCAGTACAGACAGTACAATCTGATCTCTCCTGCCCCTCCTCAGTACTTTCCATGGCATTGTCCTTCCCCTCGTTTCCTTCAGTATGAAACCTGAAAATGCAGTACAGCTACATTTATGTCAGATTAGCAATGCGCAGATAGGGATGAACAATTATCGCAAATTTGGGTAATTTTCAGTGCATGGACCTCAGCTCCTTCCTCTTGACCTTCCGGCACGATTGCCCCGGCTGGTACTTGGGCGACGAATCCGCGGCCAGCAAGTAAAAGTAGCCTCTCCTATGGCTATTCCTCTGCCTGAGATGCCTGCCTTTCAGTTGCTGCTGCTGCCGCCTCTGCGACTCGTGGCTCACGGCGCGGCCCTTCCACGACAGCCCCCCGGCCGCCGCCGCCGCCGCCGCATTAACAGTGTCTCCAAGCTCTGACCCCGACAGCGCATCCTCCGCTTCCCCACGAGCCTTGCCGCCGCTCTCGGCGGACTCGAGGCCGTCCTCATCGTCGGAACCAGAACCGGAATCCGCGGCGTCGGAGAAGCGCGCGAGGCCCTGGGACTCGAGGATGGCGAGCACCTCCCCCGCGGCACGCTCCGCCTTCCGGCGCTGCGCCGTCACCGCCCGTAGCTGCTCCTCCAGCTCCGCCACCTGCAGCAGCAGCAGCGACACCGCCGTGAGCCGGAGAGAAAATGCGGTCGAGAGGGAGAGTTAGCTAGCGTAGCGACGGGTGCAGCACACGCGCGCACCCGCTTGGTGAGCTGGTCGGCGCGCTCCTTGGCGGCGCGGGAGACGGAGCGCTCGGAGAGGAGGCGCGCGCGGAGGAAGTCGATGGTCATCGCCGTCGTCGCGTCCGCCGCCGCCGCCATCTCGAACCCTCCTCTCCGTCTCCGCTGCCTTCTCAGCACGGCATTACAGTGGCCGCCTCTCCGGTCCGCGGCGACAGCGCGATGTGGTGTAGTATGTGATTCTGTGCCAGACCGGCCGGTGCGCCTCTTTTCTTTTTTGTCGCGCAGTGTCACTCACCGGCCACTGCCGTCTGCCGTGCCGTGCCGCGACGGGTGCGTGCGCGGTGTCGTTGGTTGTGTCCGCCCCCACGAGATCACGTGAGTACGTGACGGTGCGTGCTTTGCTCCCCCGTACGCTTTACCGCTCGCCCCGCGCGCCTCCTCCGTGACGACTCGACGAAATCGCACGTCGTGGCGACCGATGCCTCCACCTGACCACCTCCAGCAGTGTAGTGTGCCGCCGATCTGACGACATGAGCGCGTGCCTTGCAAGCCCCGCAACGTGCAGTACGGGTGCGCTGGTACACAGGCTCCACCCCGTACGGACGCATTTCGGCTCTTCGGTGGATCCGAGGAAGCGAGAATAGCTACGACTTCACGGTCAGCTCGCCCGCCGTGCACAAAACGAAAGCTAAACGCCATTACGGCTGTAGTAGCCTCGTTAAACATCTCTTGAGATCGTACGGGACATCATTTTATTTGCTATGCATTATTAGTACTGGTACGTTGTGTGTAAGTTACGTTCAACCGTCTATACATCTCACGTCAGGTGCCCATGAGGCCAAGACGCCAAGACGTAGTTGACACCTTAACTATTAGAGTAGTTGCCAATTGACACCTCCTGCTCAAGGCGCGGTGCTGCCGGATCGAGGCGGCGGCAACGGCACGGTGGCAGTGGATCTAGGCGGCAACACCAGATCGAGCGGCGGTAGGGGCGGACTGACGCCACGGCGCCGAATCGAGACAGCGGCGACGGATCGAGCGACGGTGGTGGCGGATCGGGCCGTGGCAGCGCCATCTTCTTCTCCCCCCTCACCACCTTCGCCCTTGGCACAATAGGTAGTTGGCCACAACGTCCAGGGTGACGGCACGAGACGAGGCCTCTCCCAACGCGGCTTCTCGCCCGTTCCTCGCTCTACTCTGACAAATCCACGTGAACCTTCGTTGGGGGTCACGCACCTCTGCTAGGGTGTGGTCCCGTCCGAGTTGGCGGAAATATTTCTCTCGGGTGAGGGGAGACCACGCTTCATGCTGGAGCGTTGGTCATGCCCTAAGAGGGGGAACAAGACCAGAGGGCAACGATAAAGACCTTGGGTCCAAAATTGCACTATGAGATGGACAACCGTCGTTCGAGAACTTATGTATCGCATGTGTGGTTCTTCGGGAAAATTTGTAGTTGCAAACCATATATGTAGTGGAAACTTGAAAACTACCATTGGATCGAGAAATGGACGTCCGAGATTCGTCCACGTCACCGTGAGTTAAAATTTAACTCCTAGTAAAATTTTAACTCATTAGTGAATCTGCGACTTAAATTTTAACTTATAATGATGTGGGCGAATTTCGAACATCCATTTCTTAATCCAACGGTAGTTTTCAAGTTTCCACTATATATATGGTTTGCAATTTAACTTCCAGTAAAATTTTAACTCATGAGTGAATCTACGAGTTAAATTTTAACTCATGGTGATGTGAACGAATCTCAAACGTCCATTTCTTGATCCAACGATCCAACATTAGTTTCCTAGTTTCCACTATATATGTGGTTTGCAGTACATATTTTCGCTGGTTCTTCTAAGAAGACAGTAGTAACAACTGTTTATGACGAAATGAGTAACAAATATCCACAAACGCTGTCGGAAAACATTATGAAAAAATGCATATTTCTTTTCGTGATTAACATAATAAATTTTAGTCCTAGTGTTACTATTATTATTATTGACGTCGTCACATCTCTTCATAATAATGTAACAAGGACATACTTACAAGATTACTGGTGTTTGGTTATATCAAACCTCCACCGAGCAACAGCTTCTGATTCATCATCGTGAGCGTTTTCCAGGATTCTAGGGTTATTTAATTGATGACGAACCAATTTAGCGTCATCCAAATAAAACAAAAAAAAGCAGAGCACATTGCGGTGAGAGTAGATAATGCTAACTCACGATAGCAAACATTACATGTTTTGACCAGTTCCCTGAAATTTTACATTAAACTTCTTAGGATACTAGACATATACAGTCTCGACCAAAAAATAGCAGAAACACATAGAGCCATCACATTGCTCATTTTTGCACACATAGTGATAAAGCAAGCAATGCAGAAAGATACTGGGGTGAACGGGGGTAAATATGCAGCCGAAGGTACTTAGTCAAACAAGCTGAAACCCATGTCCTGCAGTAAGTTCATCGACAAAAACAATCAGTAAGATGGCTGTAATTTGCACACAATAACAAAATGAATTAAATAGCTCGACAAATAATATGGCATAAACTACATTTTCATGTTAAGAGTTAACGCATGTAATGAAGGATCCACAATACTTATGAATGTATGAAATCAGTCTAATTAAGTACTGATAGTTGCAGAAATAGCAATTTTCACACAGAAGGCACTTCTGGCAATGGTAACAAACTATAGTGCTATGTAGGTCACTGATTTGTGAATAAACTGAATATCTGCTATAGGCACCTAAGTTAGTTCTAAAGCAGCGTGCAAAAGTAAATTAACATGTGGCACCAACGCCTGGTGGATAATACTTACATCATCAGACTCTTCCTTCTCTTCGACCTTCTCCTCTTTCTTTGCCTCTTCAGCAGGTGCTGCACCGCCACCTGCAGCTGTAGGAGCTGCCACAGCTATGCCACCACCACCACCTGAGGGCACAGAAGCAAACTTCTCCCTTCCAGCAGCAATCACTTCTGTTATGTCCTTGCCCTCCAGTTCTGAGAGCAGGAACTCCAGCCTCTCGTCATTAGCTTCAACGCCAACTGTAAAGAAAGTCAAAAAATTTGTCACCATGAATATGTGTACAGGTTAACAAGACTACATTTCTTTTTACATCAGTTCTCCAGTGGTAGGCATATTATGTAAACGTCTTTCATATTTCTAACTATCCCATATAGTATTAATCATAACAATAAGAATATACACCGGGACAGCCTAAGTTCTAGCTGTTTTGAATTTGTACAATAAAAATAAGTATGGATTCGTCGATGCTACATCCAGTAAAACTATCATCATGCTGACTGAGAGAACTTCCAGAGCAAGGAAAGTATGCTTATGTGCAGCACAACAGAAATACCTGATTCCAGAATGTTCTTAATGTCATCAGCAGATGGAGAGGTGTTTCCACCCAGAACAGCGAGCAGGTAGGCAGCGATCAGCTTCATTGTGAAGTTAAAAAACGCCTTAAATAAGCAACAGATAAACCACAGCATCAGCTCAGTATATGGTAACTACGGATGAAAATATATGAACAGAGCAGACTAGAAAGAAGTTGCAATTGTGATATATAAAAAGCAAAAAAGCTATAATAAACACATCCATTTTGTCAATTCTATCAGGAATTTGAGCGAGAAAAATAGACAAGGGAATAAAACATATGCAATCATTCATTTCGATCAGACATGCAACATAAAATAGCAAGCAGGACTGACTTCCTCGTGCACTTTGGATTAAAAATGACAGTTTACCTGTTCACCACCCCCCCCCCCAAATGTTAACAAGAATCGTGCTGTTATTATTACCTTTGATTACCTTTGATAAAAAAAAACCAGGTTTCGCTACGAGAGAAAAATGGGATATTTTGCGAGCGGATGCGTTTTTTCGCATAGTTACTCCTATCTACCCTCTCCCCATTAGACTAAACCGAAATAAGTCGAATTAAGATCATACTGCCGAGCTCAATTATGCGAAATTGGGGTTGCAACGAAACGTCTACCGATCGGATAGTGCAAAGAGCTACCAGGCTCAGATTAGGATATTATACGGTGCAAATCTTCAGGAAACCATCGAGAATACAAAATAAGTCCACAACCAAAAGGATGTTAATACACGCAGTACTAAACAAAACCGAACAATTTTATTAGATGTATTGAACAAAGACCTAATCAAAATTACTCTGCGAACTGCCGAAAATTGAGACGGAGAAGGGATTAGATCGGAGCAAGCGTACCTCGAAGAGCAGGAATGGGGAAGAAGCAAGGCCGGCGGCGGAGGGGAGGATCGTGCGCTCGTAGGGTTTCTTCCGGAAGTGCCAAAGCTGCTTCCATATATAGCGAGACGGAACGGCTGGGATGGACGCACTCCCAGGCAGGGTCAACCCTAACCGTTGGATCCAGATCAACAGCCTTTGGAGCGGGAGCGGAGGCCCACGGCCCATGGGCCGGAAGCATCTAGTAGTTTCCATCAAGCCGCAGGGCCCTGTCACTTGGTCGCTCCGCGCCTGCGGGTTCCACCTGCATGGGCTGCATGGCTTCTCAGGCCATAGAATGGGCCAGAAGCTTTAGCCCATGAGACAGAGCCCACAAGGCGCAATTTCTGCTACTGCTTCAAAGATGAAGGGCAAAAATCTTTTCCCACCTTCTGAAAGAACAACTTCTAATTCTAACCCTCCATTCTTAGTAGGGCAAAATTTGCTACAGGACACCCCAAAATCGTGTAATTGGCTGTGGGATACCGCAAAATCTTGGCTTTGCCCACGGACACTACGAAAGTTGTGAAATTGGCTGTGAGACACCGGAGGCAATATTTTATAATTTCCGAGGCAAAAGAGGTCAGAAAATTTTCTAAATGACCAATCTACCCCTGCGCGCCGCTACCTCTAAGCCTGACTGGGTCTGGTCGAACCAGACCCAGCCGGCGCTGTTTCCATCCCCCCTCCCTCCACAGCCCGATTCCCCATTCCCAAACCTAACCCTAGGCGGCGGCGGCGGCGGCAGCGACGGCGGCGGCGGCGGTGGCGGGGCCGGCGGCGGCGGCGCCGGCGGAGGCCGATGGAGCTGTCATATTGGTAGGCGGCCGAGCGGCAGCTAGGAAGATGTCGCCAAGGAAGAAGTGTGCTGGGAAGAAATCGTCCCTGCGGCTGACGAGCAGTGAGGTTCCATTGAAGGCATTGGACATGTCTTGGGTTCCTCAAGGGTAAGCTTGATTCCTTTTTGCCTCGCATTATGAGTGGAATTGTTTGCAGTGATATGTGTTGCGAGTTGTAGAGTTTTTGTTTCAATTTACAGTGATTGAAATTTGGTGATTTTATTGCTGCGTTTTTGTCGCATAGGATGGACGCTAGCGCAGCTTGCAGAGTTGATGTTCGAGTTGGTCCATACGTTGAGTTTGATGAGAACGGTAGACCGGATTATCATGTCTCTCGTGATATTAAGTGGGTAATAGACAAGGATACAATTTGTTGGATTGACCTTATTAATGATCTTGATGGGGAGGTAAAACATAGTTATCTTCAGGAGATAACTGTAACCTATTGGGACAAAAATGTTGAGAGGTATGCAGAGATAGCTTCGGATAGTTCATTGCTTGATGCATTTGATATGTACTGGGAGATGAGGAGGCTCCCTTTGCTTGTTAATGTGAGTGATGACCCACGAAATAGGACCGAGCCTTGTATGGATCAAGGCAGCATTGATGGGCCGGCTAGTACTGTTGCAGGAGATGGACAAGTTGCTTGTACTGACATTGTATTAGCCACTCAAGAGAGCCAAGTCATTGCATCTAAACGTAGCAAACCTAGCAAACCTACGAAGCCTAAGGAAAAGGTTGATGATTGGGGTGAGAGTGATGAGGTTGAGTATGTTGGTGTAGATGATGAGAAAGAGAAATACAACGACTTGGTTTCAGATGATGAGGCAGTTGACGCAGACTATGACCCTGGTTCTGACGAAGATCAAGACGATTTAGCCGTTGACGATGAGGAGGGTTGTGAGTCAGTGGCTCATGTAACTGATGTAGACAATCCTAAGATAGCCGTTGGTGTAACTTTTGAAGATGGCAATTGCTTTAAAAGGTGCATTAGACAATATGCAGTACTAAAAGAGGTTGAACTTGCAGTGCCATATAGCGAATCAAGGAGGTATAGGGCATACTGTAAGGCTAAGCGGTGCAAGTGGAGGATACATGCTTCTAGACTACCGGATGGGAGAACTTGGCAAGTAAGTAGGCCCACATAATTGATGTTCACTAATTTGTCTATTCATTGTGTTTTCTGCCATTTATAACTTTTTTGCTATTTCATTTCAGATAAAGAAGCTTCCTTACACACATAATTGTGCTAGCACAGCTGGTTTGGAGAACAATTGCATGGCCACCAATTCATGGGTGAGAGATCGTGTGATCAACAAGTTGAGACAAGAACCAACCCTTGGTGCTACTGCTTTAAAGAAGTTCTTGGAAGAGAAGTACAAGATCAATATTTCTTACTACGTTGTTTGGGACGGTAGGCAGATGGCACTTGATGAAATCCTTGGCAAATGGGAAGATAGCTTCGATGCAGCTTACAACTTCAAAGCAGAGTTGGAGAGGACAAGTCCCGGATCAATTGTGGAGGTTGATCATGTGACAGTGGATGGGAAGAATCATTTCAGCAAGATGTTTGTAGCACTGAAACCATGTGTTGATGGGTTTCTTAACGGTTGCAGGCCATATTTAGGTATTGACTCAACTGTACTGACTGGCAAATGGAGAGGGCAATTGGCATCAGCAATTGGGATTGATGGCCATAACTGGATGTTTCCTGTAGCATATGGAGTCTTTGAATCAGAAAGTACAGATAATTGGGCTTGGTTCATGGATAAGCTTCACTCGGCAATTGGGTCCCCAGAGGGGTTGGTTCTGTCCACAGATGCTGGTAAAGGCATTGACACAGCAGTCACCAGAGTCTTCACCAATGGAGTAGAGCATAGGGAATGCATGAGACACTTGGTGAAGAACTTTCAGAAGAGGTTCAGTGGTGAGGTCTTTGAGAGGAATCTGTGGCCTGCATCAAGGGCCTATAGGTAGGACATATTCGAGAGTCACTATAATGAGATGAAAGAGGCATGTCCAAAAGCTACAGAATGGATTGATAACTTCCATAAGCACATTTGGACTAGATGTCAGTTCTCTACTCTCAGTAAATGTGACTATGTCACAAACAATATAGCAGAGACCTTCAATAGTTGGATCAGGCATGAGAAATCACTGCCTGTAGTTGATTTGATGGATAAGATTAGGCAAATGATCATGGAGAGAATGTCTGTTAGGAAAAGGCTTGCTGTCAAGTTGACTGGTACTATTCTTCCTAGTGTAATGAAGTCCCTGTATGCTAGGAGCAGGGACCTTGGATACAAACTGTACTCAGCCCACAGTCACCTAGGAGAAATAGGAGGGACTGGTAGGGATTTGAAGACATGGAGGCACACTGTTGACTTGAACACTCGAGAATGTAGTTGTAGGCAATGGCAGGTAACAGGTATACCTTGCACACATGCCATTTTTCTAGTCATTTCACGGAGGGGGCTAGAATTGGAACAGTTTGTGGATGACTGCTACTCTGTTGCAACATTCAAGAAGGCATATGCAGGACATGTAGTTCCAATGACAGACAAGTCTCAATGGGCCAAGATTAATGTAGGATTCAAGTTATATCCACCTCTGTTGAAGAGGTCAGCAGGCAGACCTAGAAGCAGAAGGATTAAAGGAATGGAAGAAGGAGGTTCAGGAAAAAGAAAGTATAGATGCAAGAGGTGTGGTCAGTTTGGCCATATCAAGAAGACTTGCAATGAACCAGTTGCTGATCCATCTGCCCCTCCACCAGCCCCACCAAAGCCCAAGAGAAAAAGAGTGAAGAAAGTTGTGCTTTCTGTGCAAGATCCTGTTATACAAGTCCCAACAGCTACTGTGTATGTTGTCAACAGCAAAATTTCTTTTTTATGCCATACATTTGCTATATTTACTCTACATATTTATGTTGATTTTCATTTTTTTGCAGGTCCACACCTTCAAGATCACAAGCATCTGGGGTAACTCAAACAAGCCCAATAACAAGGAGCAGGGCTAGAGCTCTCAATTTGGATGTTGATGCTCCAAGCAACAAGGCAGCTGGTGCCATCTGAAGACTGAAGTTCAATGACATGAAATTTGCTTTTGTATAAATGTAGGATGCTATGTTCACTGATGTTAGCTTTTAATGGCATGGACTCCTTTATGTGCTAAGTGCACTGCTTTTGTTATGGAGCCAATGGGCAGTACTACTCATATTTGCTAGGCAAAATGTGCCTAAAGACTTTCATGTATGGCTTTTGTATAGACCAAGCTTAATGGCAGTGGCAGTACCATGTGTGGCACTGGATGTATGGCACTAGTTGATGTGGAATGGCAGTGAGTATTTCTGGAATGGCTTCTAAATTATTGCTGTCTAAAATTTTGTTTACTGTCCAACATGCTTGTAAATGTTTGTTGTATGGATGTAGGGAGCGTATCCTATGCACACAGGCCCTCGCGTGTAATCACCGTGTACACCAACTAAAAATTATCACAAAAAATTCTAGGAAAACTCATACATGTACTTTCAATAGTATTACATCTACGTGCAAAGTCGTATCTTCAAATTCATTCTACATAGAGAATAACAAAAAAGATAAAATTTTGACAAAATTGCAACCTTAAAACTGTCAGATTTTTTGTTTTTTTTGTTACGGCTAAAATATAATGAATTTGACGTTAACATTTTAACCCTAGGTGTAATACAATTGAAAGTATGTGTATGATTTTTTCTAGATTTTTTTGTGACATTTTTTAGTTGGTGTACACGTGTGTACACGTGAGGGCCTGTGTGCATAGGATATGTTGCCATGGATGTATGCCAGTTTGCTGTCTGAAATTTTGCCAAACTGTCAATTTGCTGTCTGGGCAAATTTTTTGCCAATGTTTCAGACAGCAAACATTTACTGCTCAGATGCCAACATGCTGTCCAATTTTTTGTCTGGCCAAATTTTGCCAACATGCTGTCCAAATTTTTCTCTGGCCAAATTTTGTCAACATGTTGTCCAAATTGCTCAGATGCCATATACTACTGCAAATGCTGTGCACTATTACTCAATGCCATATCAAAGCAACATCACAGAGTACTGCAAAAATTCCAATTGCTCAGATGCCATATCAAACCAAATTCGAATGGCTGCATTTCATCTGAAAACCATACTACATTCATTAATTCCACAGGGCATTCATAAGTTCAACATTACATTGCTTCCAAATACTAAATTGCCTATTACAATCCATATTACTTGCTAATGACAACTACCAAAATCAACAGTAATAATAAAGCTTGCACAACTCCAAGGTACACTAAAATTCGTCCCACTCCTTCAACTCCCTTCATTTCTGAGACAACAATCCCCATCAGTGGCACAATGGACATTTGCCCAAGGGCAACTCGCCACCACCACGGCGCCGTACCACTGAAGATGACGCCGAGCTGTCCATCGCCGCACCAACCGAAGCCGACTAGGCCGCCGTCGTCGCCGTCCTCAACACTGCCGCCTCCGCCGCCGGCCCCGCCACCGCCGCCGCCGTCGCTGCCGCCGCCGCCTCCGCCGCCGCAGTCGCCTAGGGTTAGGTTTGGGAATGGGGAATCGGGCTGTGGAGGGAGGGAGGATGGAAACAGCGCCGGCTGGGTCTGGTTCGACCAGACCCAGTCAGGCTTAGAGGTAGCGGCGCGCAAGGGTAGATTGGTCATTTAGAAAATTTTCTGACCTCTTTTGCCTTGGAAATTATAAAATATTGCCTCCGGTGTCTCACAGCCAATTTCACAACTTTCGTAGTGTCCGTGGGCAAAGCCAAGATTTTGCGGTGTCCCACAGCCAATTACACGATTTTGGGGTGTCCTGTAGCAAATTTTGCCTAGTAGGCATCTCATTTCATCTCAACCCTTCATTCATATCACTATCCTAATCTCACCTTCTTAACCCATTATCCTAACATGCCTCATATGTAATGAACATTGCCTCCAGTACGTTGCGTTGGCCACAAAAGTATACAAAACGTTAGGCAGGTGTGTATACAATTCTAAGGCTGTGTTCTTTCCTGGGTGATCTGGATGATTGTGAGTGAGTTTTGCTTCGTTTTCCGCGCGCACGCTTCCCGAACTACTAAACGGTGCGTTTTTTGCAAAAAAATTATATAGGAAAGTTGCTTTAAAAAATCATATTAATCCATTTTTAAAGTTTAAAATACTTAATAGTCAATTAATCATGTGTTAATGGCTCACCTCGTTTTGCGTATCTTCCCAATCTCCTATATCTCCTCCCCTCAAACACAGCCTAAATGATGTCTCGTGCTTTGCTGTAAAATATATGTATGAATATATATTGAATGTTGCATAAATGATGGGTGGATTTGGGTTGAGATATTGTGAAAATGATGTGAGGAATGAAATTTAAGTGTTTAGTGGGTTAATGTGTTATGCTTGTAGGTTTTAAAATGTACTAATAATTGTAATTGTTATAATGTATGTTAAGTTTTAAGGTGTTTAGTAAGTTGTTACAATATATATATATATATATATATATATGTATATATATATACATATATGTATATGTATATATATACATATATGTATATGCATATATATGTATGTATATGTATATATGTATATATATGTATGTATATATGCATATATCTATACGTGTATATATATGTATATATATATGTATACATATACGTGTATATATATACATATATATACGTATACATATACGTGTATACATATGTATATATATGTATACATATATATATATACATATATGTATATATATACATATATATATATATACATATATGTATATATATACATATGTATGTGACGGAGCGCGGGGCTCCTCACCGGGAGACCGCACAGGCCCCCCTTTGCCGGTTCGGCCGGGGGCTCAGGGTGAGATCCCAAGCTCTCGCTGTATGTGGAAAGATCGCGACCTATCGAAAGAGCACGAAACGCAAGCGATGTATACAGGTTTGGGCCGCTGAGAAGCGTAATACCCTACTCCTGTGTTTTGGTGGATCTGTGTATCAAGGAGCTACAAAGTGTGAGCCAACCTCCCTTTTGTTCTAGCTACCCAATCTGGAAAGAATCCAACCCCTTTTTAATGGGCCAGGTCCTCCTTTTATATTTCAAGGGGATACCACATGCACCCCTCTCTTTTCAAACTGGACTTTTCTTCTTTTCATAAATGGACGGAGATTTGCACGGTTGCCCTCCGAACATCCTTCTGACGGGACGGCCCATACCTACCTCCACTTCTGCCGGGGGCAGGCGCGTCGTGGGAAAGTGGCTGTCTGCCGACGACATGACCAGTGTCAGACCGGTCACAAATCGGTCATTCTTGCCCACCACGCGTCAGCCTAGCAACGTGCATGTTTGCCCTTCTTCACACAACATCTTGCTTGTAATGGTTAGGATGAAGCCTGCCATATATCGACCGGGGCTAACGTGCCATCTCTGGGATGTAACACGCTAGCTCCAGCTGGGGACAAGTGCCTAGAAGCTCTCGTCTTGACGGGATGGGGCGAAGCGTGCGTCAGACCGCCTGTCGCCACCTAACCCGCGATCTGACCGGTCTGTGACTGGTCACAGACCGGATAAACGAGTGCACTGCACCGCACTTCGTGCGGTGTGACACGTTTAGCCAAGGCGCAATAAATGCGGTTAGGTGAGCCCCGCTGTGCTCACCTAACCCATACGCGCGGAGTAGAACCCGCGAGGGGTCGGGGCGCCTCGGCCCTCGGGGGCGAGGCAGGAGCGGTGCGACCCCCCCCTCGGGGAGACCAAGAGGTGGGCGCACACATCACCCTCGGGCCCGACGTCCCCCGAGGGTGCCAGGCCACGTGGGCGATTGTGTCTGCCTCAAGCCTCTAGTCATGATACTCCCGGTCCCATGCCACCGACAGTAGCCCCCGGCGTTATGCCAGGGCGATCGCCCTTCTCAAGGGAAGCGGTCGGGCGTGACGCCACTCCTAAAGCCTGGTGACAGGTGGGACCGGTCTCTATGGTTGGGCAGAAACCCAACGGTCTCAAACCATGCGCTTCGGTAATGGTAACTTGGCTGTCAATAATGGGCGGTCTCTTCAAGACTGCCACATCACCTGAGCAGCGCACAAATCTGGGCGAGCCGATTTGCTTCGCCTGGAGATATGGTAACGTCGCTTCGGTCGGCGAGCGTAATTAACGCGCACACGATACGATCTATCTCGACTGCCACAACCGCATATCCACCTCACGCGCCGCAAGAGGGCGAATGGGATTAGTGGAAACGTGGGCGCGAGAAACGAGGGGGCGAAATAATGGGCGCGAGAAACGAGGAACCGGGCACAGCGTTGGCAAGGGTATAAAGGCACTGAGGATGGGATTTGTTTCCTTCCTTTCGCCATCATTCCCCTTGCCTTCGCCGCTTGCGCCCTAACTCCTTCTTCCCTGCGCCCTTCTTTCGCCACACGCGCTCGCTCTCCATCTTCTCTTCGTCCGGCGCCATGGCACGGGGCTCCGCACTACTTGATGGTAGCGTGCTGCCGCCTTCCCGCATCACGAGCGAGAAGCAGGCTGGGTTGCCGCGCCGCTTCATGCCGGAATCTGCCACCGGCCGTGAGATAGTCATGCTGGGCGAGGGACGCCCGGCGCCAGACTACCCGGGGCGGTCCGTCTTCTTTCTCCCCTTTGCAATGGCAGGGCTGGTTCCGCCATTTTCTTCTTTCTTCATGGATGTCCTGGAGTTCTACGATCTCCAGATGGCGCACCTTACCCCCAACGCAGTGATGACATTGGCCATCTTCGCACATCTGTGCGAGATGTTCATTGGGGTGCGCCCATCTCTTCGGCTGTTCCGGTGGTTCTTCACCGTGCAGTCGGTGTCGCCGCCATCGGTGGTTGGTGGCTGCTACTTCCTGCCGCGGGGGCCGGTGTTGAACCGCTACATCCCCTGCGTCCTCCGCAAGAAGTGGGATGACTGGAAGAGCGACTGGTTCTACACCCCCCTCGCCGACGAAGCGCGCCTCCGACTTCCGAGTCAGCCCCCGGCGCAGGCCCCCAGCTGGCGGGCGCCGGTAGATCTGGGGGATGGCTATGACGCCGTCCTCGACTGCCTGGCGGGCCTGCGATCCCAGGGGCTCACAGGGGCCATGGTGTACGGCGACTACCTCCGTCGTCGGATTGCGCCGCTCCAGCGGCGCGCTCGGGGCGCCTGGGAGTACACCGGGTCCGAAGACTACATTCGGACCCACCAGGGAGTCAGATGGGATTGGGCTCCTGAGGACTTCAAGATATTGGTCCAACGGGTGCTGAATCTCAACTCCGTGGAGGCGT